TCTACCCCCACTCTTCCCTTTATCATTTCCTCTTTCCATGGTTGTTCCTGTCACCTGCCCTTGAAGACAGCCCCTGATTTAGTCATGTATGAGGCTTCTGCTCTGGTGACTTTGTCCATACAGAGAAGGGGGAGAGACTGAAGTATCATTGCCCCAGCTTAGCTTTCTTCTCCATTTCCCTCAGCTACTACTACCACTACTAAAACCATTGCAGGTGCCACCAGAGCCGCCTGCTCTCTGGGAGCTTCCTTAAATGCCAGAAAGGGATGGAAAATGTTAGAGTGCCATCTGGAAGGCTCCTTCCATAGAGGTGGATACTGTTGCTGCAGCTGTTGCCTCCTTTCTCCTGCCCTTCTTTCTGCCAGCTCTGGGGGTGTTCACTTTTAAAGTCCAGGTAGAAGTGGCCAACTACTCCACCTGTTACCCATCGCCTTCTTCTGTGGCACCTCCACAGATTGTGCCTTGGATTGTCTCTTGGCCTGGCAAGAAGGGATGCCAGGCAGCCCAGAACCTGCACCCGCCTTGTCTCCATTGGCAAACCTGCCCACTTTATTTTCTCTTTTTTCCCACTGAAAATCTGGCTCAGGCACTGATGACAATCCCAGCCCATCACATCCAGTCAAGTGTCTGGGCCCTGTTGCTGATAAAACCCAGTGGGTGGGGCTGAAGATGAGATCATACTGTCATTGGGTCTTTGTCATGAGCTCAGCACCTTCCTGTCATGGATGAGGAGAAGACCTCCCACAGGGCATCTGGGGGGGGGCAGAAATGGGCCTGCTTCCATGTCCTCTGAAAAGATCAAGCAAGTAGAGCTGGTCACAGTGGCTCTGGCAACAGAGAGAAGTAACACTGTCTTCCTTATGGAGATCTTTATGGATGAGGCCTCAGAGACATACTCCCCACTTTTCTGTCACCCATTTCTCCTATCTGTACCAAAGTAGAACTTGCTGAAGGTAAGGGGATTGTCTTTTGGTGGGCTTGGGATTCTAGGCCACCTTCTAGAAGTTGAAGAATCGTGGTCTGACCTCTGTAGCCCAGAGTCAGGACAATCTTTTCCAGAAGGCCTCAATCTGGGTGTTGATTCAATTAGAGAACCCCACCATCTCCTCCTCTTTCCCAGCTTACTGTCCAGGTCCTTGACCTTAGATTTGTGTCTGGGATGTCTGCTTGGCTGTGGATGGCACAAGGCATGTGGTTGCCAAACACAATGAGGTAACAGCTGGTAGGCTTAAGCAGCTGGGCTTAGAGCTTTCTGGGATATCCCTCCTTAGACATGGCCATTGTTCCTGGAGCAGCGTGGAGACTCTGACCAAGTCAGTGCCCAACCTTAGGCTCAAACTGTAGGCACCAACCTGTGGTGGTTGCTTTCCCTTTCTTGGGAGGTAGTATCAGTATGTGTGTTTTCTTTCCTCACCACACCGGAGGTTGGTATGCCCACTCCAGAGTGTCTGGTCAAATTTAGCTGGGGCTCAACTAAATATCTCACCTTAGACCAAGGGGTATATCAGGGCCACTTGCTGTTCCGCCAGCTCTGTCCCAGCAGTATCAAGACATTCCTTCATCTCCTCTACAAGACTGGTGCTTTGGGAACTGGATTTGGGAACTTGTGCCATTGGCATGTGCTGGTAATGTGCTCCTCATTCCCCAGGAGTTGGCCTGGGAGACCTGATGCAGGTAAAGGCTTTCCAAACGATCTATTCAGCAACCTTCTCAACCTGCATCATCTGGGTCAAGAGCTCTGGACTTATGATCAGGGATGGGTGGCAGGTGGGCTCTCTCTCACCAGCGTTCTGTGCCATCTAGCGTGGGGGCAGGTCCACCACTCTATCTGAGCAGGTACCTTACTGCCACCAATCCCTTCCCACTGCAGAATTGGAATGATTAAGGGTTTAGGCTGGATGACCTGTTCCAGAGATAGATGAGGATGACCAGGCCTCTTCCTTTGCTGAAAGCATTTATGCTCAGCTAGTGCATTCTGTCCATGCTTTGTCACTGGCTTAACGCTCCTGTGCACTCTGATCAGTCAGCAGAAGAGCCTGCATTTTTTTCTGTCGGGGGTTGAACTGGGTCTCTGTAGGTGTTCTAAGCCTCTGCCTCTCCCTCAGGGGAGAGCAGACACTTCATGGTCTTCAACTGGAGCCAGGTCTGTGCCTTTTGCCTTCAGAATCTCCTTTAAGGTGCAGGTAGCCTGGCACAAAATGGCGCGGACACACACTTTTCTCCGCTGCCTTTGAAGGTGCCATAAAACCAGCACAGCCTTTATCTCCACCTGAGAGGTCAACCCTGAGACTTATCTGAGTTGATGGTCTTCTGCCAGGATCTCCTCGTGACCTGGAAGCTAGTTGCAGTGATCCAGGCCCATTGCAGCCACCAAAAGGGAAGACTGCCTGACAGAACCCCTGCAACACAACCCCCATCTGTGTATACAGGGAATGGAGACTCCCCTAGTGTGCCAGAAGATGGTCCTGGCTAGAATTACCAAACTTTGAGATCTCTTGGAATGATTGGAGGAACTGGGATGACCTTGCAATGGTTGGCCAGAGCACGCAGCTTGCCTACCCTACGTATTGCTGGTCATGTGCTCTAGCAGGTGAGAGTAGTTTGCTTCCTGATTCTCTCACTTTCCTCAAGTGGGTGCAGTGAGAGAGTGCTCCATGCCCACTCCTCATCCCAACCCTTTGGAACGCATGTCTCTCCCTGGTGCTCCTCCTTAACCAGCTGCACAACGTACAGTTTGTTACCCTCATCTTCCATCTCGACACCAGCTGGCAGAGGCGGTTGCCATCTGTAGAAGGCCAGGAACCATTGGGGATATTAACTGGCAGCTTCTGCATGAAGCTATAAAAATGGTTTTGTAGCAGACACTGTTCCTCTAACATCTGCCCTTTAGTAACCAGAGGGAGAGTCTGGCACACATTTATGCAGGGTGCATCAGATTGAAGCCCTTCTTCCAGAACCCCTGACTAATATTATGGCTGTACTTGTTGCACCCCCTAATTCATGCACACCCCATTTATGGCTTCACAAAGTCATAGGATCTCCTTACAAACTTTTGCTTTCTGGATTTCTTTGTTTGATGTCTGTCTGGAGCCCTGATTTTTAACCTTTGACCTCGCCCCTGCTTCTGTTTTCTTTCACTGTCCAATGTATTCACTTTGTAGACTGAGTCTAGTGGTTCCTCCCCCGTAGTTGGAGGGATAGACTTCTTACATTGAGTGGGTCTTGACCTCCCTGTTCCAGCATACACACCTTTCTGAATCAAATGAGGCAAGGTTCCTACCAATAACAGTCTGATTCACTTACAATTCTGAGTTATTCTCTGAGCAGGTCCATCCGGGGCATTGAATGAGGTAGAGATCTTGTGGGAAAAATATAGTATCTGATCAAGTAAGTGAAGATGTGTCACAATGTAACAGTTGCTTAGGCATTTCCTAACTTGTGGCATATCTTAAGTTTTGAGTTTATGATTTTACAGCCATAAAATTCTTTTAACATCTTTTAAAAATATAATTCCTTACTTTTTTAAATAAAATTGAAACAGACTGGAATAAAACTGGAGCTTCTAGATCCACAGAATAGATCTCTAGTTCTTCACATAATGCACAGTCCACCTGTGGAACTCTTTGCCAGGGGATGTAGTAAAGGCCAAAACAATAATAGGATTTAAATAAAAACTAAATGATTTAATGGAGGTTAGGTCTATCAGTGGCTATTTCCCTGGATGGTCAGGGATGGTGTCCCTAACCTTTGTTTTCCAGAAACTGGGAATGGGTGACAGAGGATGGCTCACTTAGGGTACATCTAGACTACAAGCCTCTTTCAAACAAGCCTCTTTAAAAAGAGATCATCTAGACAGCCACAAGACTTTCGAAAAAGTAATCTGCGTTTTCGAAAGAGAGCACCCAGGCAATCTGGACGCTCTCTTTCAAAAAAGCCCTGTTTGTGTTCAAGATTGCCTTTTTTCGAAAGAGCCCTTTTGAAAAAAGACATTCTTCCCCGTAAAATGAGGTTTACTGCTGTCAAAAAAGCCCACCGAAGGCACCTTTTTTGAAAAAACTCTGTAGTCTACATAGCCCTAATGAGTACCTCTTCTGTTCATTCTCTCTCAAGCACTGGGCATTGGTCATTATCAGAAGACAAGATACTGGGCTAGATGGACCCATCGGTCTGACTCAGTATGACCATTGTTGTGTTCTTATGTTCTTAGTAATTTAGAAGGAATAGATATAATTATCATTATGGATCAGCCACCAGTGGTGAGTTGAAACAATGACAAAAGTGGAATAAAGACTCAGGAACATTGGGTTCTATTCAAGTCTCTGAAGGGCAGTGTGCTTGCATGGTAATAAACTGTGTTCTCCATCTTACTCCTAACTTGTGTCTGTTCTACAGCTCTTCTAGTCTCTCTTCTCCCTGGAACTTGATATTCTAATAGAAAATGTTAGATAACCCTAATTAACTGTGTACATTATATGTCTATTTTATACATATACTTTTTATGACAGCAACTTTTGTTTCATGTGGTCAGATGTTATAATACATACATACAATACACACAAATGTCTGTACTCCATTCATACCTTGTTCACCAGGTTAAGTTTTCTTAGTACTAATCCTTAAATGAAAAGGTCAGCTAATGAAAAGCATACTAGTATCTTGACTTTTATTGTATTTACACAGTGAAATTTAATCTGCTCCCGCGTAAACCCTTTCTTGTAAGGGAAATAACCGTTTTGTCTTCCTTGGAAAATGTTCATTTCATATTGTCCAGAGATCAGTGCATAGTTTAACTCTTTATTGGATTAATATTTGATGCAGACATAAAACCATATTGCATTATATGCACTTACACATCTGGAGAACCAATAGTTGCTATTAAATATTCAGACTGACAAACAGTAGAACTGAAGAGCATTAAAATATTTCTGTTACAAACACAAGGAAATTACCTGTGTTTGTAAATGCAAATTAGTTTAATGATGTCTCTCTCCTTTCTCCAGAATATCTGAGCCTATGCCAAGCTGAGAGGGATGAGCTATTTTTCTGACAACTAGGGGATTGTTCCTGGAGGCTTTTGGGGAAGAATATATTTGCAAAGTAGGTATCTGAACAAGCTTGTACTTTTGAGCTGGACAGGCATCATTAGTATGTGATGTTGCTGGAGAGATGTCTACAGTGGCAGCAGTGGCAGGTGGTGTTTTGTGTAGAACAGCACTGTAGACATTTGTAAAAATGGAGGTTGAAGAAAATGGTGTGAATATTCCTTGCAGCTTACAGCCCCATATTGCATAAAACTGTAAAGAAGTTAGATGCTTTCTAGGTTTTAGTGAAACATTGGGTTGCCACAAAATCAGATATGGTATCTTAGTGGCTTTTGATATATTTTATTCAGCTGCTAGACCAATACTACATTTGAACACTATGCTCAGGAGATGAGTGTTCTAACTCACCTTGAGGACAGAAATCCAGTGGAGTCCATGCATGAATGTGGGAAGATTTTTCTATTAGTACCTCATGCTTTTAACAGATGCTGGCACCCTGCCCAGAGCTAATGATAGATTCCCCTGACTCGTTACAGCAGGTGGGGTCATTAACAGCATGGCTATAAGGAATGGAGGACTGGTTCACAGGGCAGCAAGGAGACTTTGCTTATTAGTACTCCTGGAAGAGTAGTTGAGCCTAGGAAGTGGTTTGGGCTGAATGTGTTAAATTGTTACTAGCTTCTTTGGTAACAAAATTAAGAATCAGAAAAGGTGTGAATGCTGACTTTATAAATGTGTAGTGACTGTATTTTGTAGCAGGCTAGGAAAATCACTAGCACATTTGGTGTGTAAGATTTTTTTCCCCCACAATCTTTCATTTAGTTCTCCCTATACCCAGTTCTGCTCTTGGAAGCAGCTGGTACTGGCTATTGTCAGAGATAAGATTCCAGGGTAGAATCGACTGCAGAGCTGAGCAAATATGGAATTCCTCTGTAATTTATTGTGCTAATCAATAGTATTCTAAAGCAGAGATATATTCTTCTATTAATTTCTACAAGTTGGATTTAACCTATAAAAGTAATAATTTTCTACTAAATTATATAACTTTTAAAAATTAATTTCTGTAGAACTCAACAAGTTTCTAACCTATAGTTTTATGACTTTCCAAAGACACTTAAAATCCCCATAGGTTTGGGCTCCAGGATTGGTTGAATGTCTGTCCATATATTTTGTGTTCAAGTCACACCCATCACAATAGTATTTCAACACCTGCCAGAAATTGTAATAGATAGTGCTCTTTATCACAAGTCAATTAGAACACTGATAATTTTTAAAAAGGCCTTTTTCCAAAGCACTAAAATTAAAAAAAAGAAAAAATATAGAATAAAAAATATTTAAAAAGTAGGGTAAAGCAAGTCATCTCACCTTACTTACCTTGTATCAGTGCAAAAATGCTTTTTGGGAAATTAGGAAAGGCATTCTGGTTACTCACTGCAACAAAGGATTCTGGAAATCCTGCACTATTCCTGCAAGAATTTTAGCACTAGCCAGGCAAAGCTTAACCACATTCCAATGGGTCTACCCACATGCTTAAAGATCAGCATGTACTTTAGTGTGAGCATGGGTCCTTGTGGGATTGAACCATAAATGTACTGGAAATGTTCTATCAGTGAAGGGGACGATTCACGTTATGATTTGAAAGAAAATGGTGATGGTGGTTTTGCAAGCTGCAGTACAGTCAAAACTCCTTCTGTCTCTCACAGAAAGAACAAAATACTAAGATTGTTATTATTATTTATAATGTATTTAATTAAAAATAATACTCAGCTCTTACATAGTGATCTTCGTACATTGATTACCGAATGCTTTTTAAAAGAAGAAAAGTACCATTCTCCCCATTTTACAATGGAGAGAAATACCTTGCCCAAAGTCACATACCAGAGACAGAATAGTTCAGAGCACTATTCATTGGATCTCACTGCTTCCTAATACTTGATTCCTAGTTACATATATTTGCAAATAAAATATTTTAACTATAAAATGGATGGTTTACTGATGAAGCTTCTATTACTTTGTCATTATGTAAAAGCTTGGCTGTTCAATAGGATGTTTCCCTTTAACTATTAAACCAGGGGTGGGCAAGATCAGGCCCAGGGCCAGATTCAGCCTGCAAAGCATTTTTCTCCTGCTTGCCCATCTAATTAGCAGAACGTGCATAATTACAGCTATCCGTGTGCAGTCAGTTGCCCCTTCCTCTACCTTGCTGTCACACAGTGGAGCTGCTTCAATTTGAATCATGGATGGTAAGTGGCTCAGAAGAGTGCAGGAGGTGGGGGAGAAGACAACAGAGCAGGACAGATTACCCTTAAAGAGACAGAGCATGGCTTCTGGAGAAACTCCTACCCTTAAAGAGACAGAGCATGGCTTCTCTAGAAACTCACCCAGCAGCTGCCAGCCACACTCTCTGTGTCACTGTCACACACCCCCAGTCTGTCTCACATATACCATCACTATTACATATACACTGCTGTACACACTCAATCTGTGTCACAAAGTCTGTCTCTCACATACAGGTTTCTCTCTTTCACCCACCCACATTTTATTTGTCGCTCTCTGTAGCCCTCGGCCCCACCCCTTCTGCCAAAGGCCCTGCCCCTTCTGGGGAGCCCGAAGTCAGCTCATAACCAGGTACCAAAATTTGTGAAGTGGCCCCTCTGTGAAAATTATTGCGTGCACTTGTCATAGAATCAAAGAATCATAAAGCTGGAATAGACCTCAGAAGGTCATCAAGTCCAGTCCCCTGCTCTAGGAAGGACCAATCCCAACTAAATCAACCCAGCCAGGGCTTTGTCAAGCCAAGACTTAAACACCTCTAGGGATGGAGACTCCACTACTTCCCTAGGTAACCCATTCCAGTGCTTCACCGCTTTCCTAGTGAAATAGTTTTTCCTAATATCCAACCTGGCCCTCCCCCACCACAACTTGAGACCATTGCTCCTTGTTCTGCCATCTGTCACCACTGAGAACAGCCTTTCTCCATCCTCTTTGGAACCTCCCTTCAGGAAGTTGTAGGCTGCTATCAAATCCCCCCTCACTTTTCGCTTCTGCAGACTAAACAGCCCCAACTCCCTCAGCCTCCCCTCATAGGTGTTATGCTCCAGCCCCCTAATCATTTTGGTTGCCCTCCGCTGGACCCTCTCCAATGCATCCACATCCTTTTTGTAGTGGGGGGCCCAGAACTGGACATAATACTCCAGATGTGGCCTCACCAGAACCAAATAAAGGGGAATAATGACATCTCTGGATCTGCTGGCAATGCTCCTCTTAATGCAACCTAATATGCCATTAGCCTTCTTGGCTACAAGGGCACACTGTTGACTCATATCCAGCTTCTCATCCACTGTAGCCCCCAGGTCCTTTTCTGCAGAACTACTACTTAGCTGGTTGGTCCCCATCCTGTAACAATGCTTGGGATTCTTCTGTCCCAAGTGCAGGACTCTGCACTTGTCCTTGTTGAACCTCATCAGATTTCTTGTGGCCCAATCATCCAATTTGTCTAAGTCACTCTGGACCCTATCTCTGCCCTCAAGCATATCTACCTCTCCCCCTAGCTTAGTGTCATCTGCAAACTTTCTGAGGTGCAATCCATCCCCTCATCCAGGTCATTAATAAAGATATTGAACAAAACCAGTCCTAGAACCAAACTTTGGGGCACTCTTCTAGAAACCAACCACCATCCTGACATCGAGCCATTGATCACTACCCACTGGGCCCGGCCTTCTAGCCAGATTTCTGTCCATCTTACTGTCCATTTATCCAATCCACATTCCCTTAACTTGTTGGCAAGAATATTGTGGGAGACCATATCAAAAGCCTTGCTAAAGTCAAGGTATATCACATCCACTGACGTTCCCATGTCCACAGAGTCAGTTACCTCACCATAGAAGCTAATCAGATTAGTCAGGCATGACTTTTCCTTTGTAAATCCATGCTGACTATTCCTGATCACTTTCCTCTCTTCCAAGTGCCTCAAAATGGATTCCTTAAGCATCCCTTCCATGATTTTTCCAGGAACCGAGGTAAGACTGACAGGCCTATAGTTCCTTGGATCATCCTTCTTCCCTTTTTTGAAGATGGGTACTACATTTGCCTTTTTCCAATCATCAGGGATCTCTCCCGATCTCCACGACTTTTCAAAGATAATGGCCAAAGGCTCCTCAATGACATTTGCCAACTCCCTCAGAACCCTTGGATGCATTAAGTCCGGACCCATGGATTTGTGTATGTTTAGCTTTTCTAAATAGTTTCTAAACTGTTCTTTACCCACCAAGGGCTGTTGATCTTCATCCCTTCTTGCATCACTTAGCGCATTAGTCTGGGAGTCGACCTTGTCCGTGAATACAGAGGCAAAGAAAGCATTTAGTACTTCTGCTTTCCCCACATCATCTGTCACTAGGTTACCTCCTTCATCCAGTAGGGGCCCCACACCCTCTCTGATCACCTTCTTCTTGTTAACATGCCTGTAGAAACCTTTCTTGTTATCCTTCACATCCTTTGCCAGTTGCAATTCCAATTGCGCTTTTGCTTTCCTGATAATCCCCCAGCATTCTTGAGCTATACATTTAAACTCCTCTCTGGTCATTTGTCCAAGTTTCCACTTTTTGTAAGCTTCTTTTTTGTGCTTAAGTTCACCAAGGATTGCCCCTGTAAGCCAATCTGGTCTCCTATCATGTTTGCCTCTCTTGCTACGCATCGGAATGGTTTCTTTCTGTGTCTTTAATAAGGCTTCTTTAAAATACTGCCAACTCTCCTGGACTCCTTTCCCCTTCATGTTAGCATCCCAGGGGGATTCTTCCCATCAGGTCTCTGAGGGAGTCAAAATCCGCTTTTCTGAAGTCCAAGGTATGTATTTTACTACTCTCTTTTCTTCCTTTGGTCAGGATCCTGAAATCTACCATCTCATGATCACTGCTTCCCAGGTTGTCACCCATCCCTACTTCCCCTATTAGTTCCTCCCTGTTTGTGAGCAGAAGGTCAAGCTGCGCATGGCCCCTGGTCGGATCCTTCAGCACTTGTACCAAGAAGGTATCCCCAACATTCTCTAAAAACTTCCTGGATTGTCTGTGTACTGCTGTATTGGTCTCCCAACAGATGTCAGGGTGATTAAAGTACCCCACAAGAACCAGGGCCTGCAATCTGGAAGCTTCTCTCAGTTGTCCAAAGAAAGCCTCATCTACCTCATTCACCTGATTCGGTGGCCTGTAGCAAACACCAACCACAACATCAATGCTGTTGTTTGCACCTCTAAACTTAAACCATAGACTCTCAACAGGTTTTGCTCCCTCTATATACTGGAGTTCTGAGCAATCATAGTGATCTTTTACGTATAGTGCTACTCCTTCTTTTCTCCCCTGCCTGTTCTTCCTGAACAGTCTATACTCTTCCATGACAGCGCTCCAGTCTTGCCAGTCATCCCACCAAGTCTCTGTTATCCCAATTAAATCATATTTCTTGGACTGGGCCAGGGCCTCCAGTTCTTTCTGTTTGTTACCCAGGCTTCTCGCATTAGTGTACAAACACTTCAGACAACCAGTTGATTGCCCTATCTTCTTCATTCAAATCAGGGTTCCTCCTTTCTTGCTTGTTCCTCTTTGCATTTCTTCCCGGTATCCAACTTTCCCACTCCCCTCAGGGTTTTGGTCACCGTCCCCCAATGAACCTAGTTTAAAGCCCTCCTCACTAGGTTTGCAAGCCTGCCTACGAAGATGCTCCTTCTTCTCTTGGTTAGGTGGATCCCATCTCTTCCTAACAATCCTTGTGCCTGGAACAGAGTCCCATGGTCAAAGAAACCAAAGCCCTCTCTGCGACACCACCTGCGCAACCACGCATTTACTTCCTCAATTCGACGATCCTGCCCAGTCCTTTCCCTTCAACAGGGAGGATGGACAAGAACACCACTTGCGCTCCGGATTCTTGGATACTTCTTCCCAGCGCTACATAATCCGTAGTAATCCACTCAAGGTCATTCTTGGCCGTATCGTTAGTTCCCACGTGGAGAAGCAGGAAGGGGTAGTGATCCAAAGGTTTGATCAGTTTGGTAAGCCTCTCAGTCACATCCTGAATTCAAGCTGCTGGTAAGCAGCACACCTCTTGAGATTCCAGGTCCAGACGGCAGATGGATGGCTCAGTCCCTCTTAGGAGGGAGTCCCCGACCACCACCACCCATCGTCTTTTTTTCGGGGTGGTGGTCATGGAACCCCCATCCCTAGGACTAGCATCCCATGCCTTCCAGTAGATGGTGTTCCCTTGCGGTTTCTTCCTTATGAGGTCCCTTGCAAAGCATTCACCACTGCAGAGCCTGTGGAGAGAGCCTGAAAGCGATTACTTACCTCTATAGCTCTGCGGGATTCCTGTGCTGGCCTTTTTCCCTTTCTAGAAGTTACATGCTGCCAGTTCTCTTCCTGGTCCCATACTGCCCTCTCTGGCTCTTCCGCCTGCCGTGCTTGAATAGTTTCAGAATATGTTTTTATTAAAATAGCAAAAAATAGATTAAATATAGGATAAAAATTTCAAAGGTACCTACATCCTAGTAATAAAAGTGGCTTATATCCTTTTGAAATGTTTTCATCCATACACTAAGCACTTGAAAAAGTATTGCTTAAAGTCAGAAAAACACTTATGTAATAGCAACATGTACATTTCTTACAATTTTTTTGGCAGGATTTTAATTCAGATATTTTGTTTATTTCTACAGTTCTCAAAGCTAGTCTTGGTGATTTCTGGTGCAAATGGAAAGGTATGTAAGGGGTTTCTATCGCATCCATTACTGTAATATCAGAGCATCTCACAATCATTGTTAGCTGACAACACTTGTAAATTTTATAAAATAATTAAGTGAGGACATGGTTCTTTTTTTTAAATAAAAAAAGTTAGAGGTGATGAGAAACCTAAAAGTAACAAAGATCTTGGAGGAATAGCTAAAGAGAAAGTGGAACAAATGTAAAGGAAATAGAACTGCTGGCCCTTCAATATCAATGTGCTAAAATTCTAGCGAGACCAGGTGGGTTAGGTAATAACATTTATTTCAATAAAAGATGTGACCTCACCCATTTTGTCTCTTTAATTTGGGATGGACATGGCTACAGTTACACTATTTATAACACTGATGGGTAACCTAGGCTAGTGAGTGGGCTATATGAATGGTCCTCCATCTCGGTGGGCCTCAAGGTTGTTGTAACTAAGATGGTCTCCCAAGATAGGATCATTTTGCTAACTGTGCTTGCATACCTAGAATTTGTGGGATGAGCCGAATTAACTGTAGCAGCGCTTTGATTGGAGAAGGTGTCCATGGCTCTCACAGTCATTGTTGTGTGCAATCAACATGCACCTCACTTCACATGCCTTTACTTTATGTGTGTGTCACTTCAATAAAACCTGTAAGATGGAAACTAGTGGTATCTGGCAACCCTGTGCCTGGGCGAAATGTCTCACAGGCCACACATAGAACCCCGATGGGCCGCAGGTTGTACATCACTGGTTTATAAGATCCCAGAATTTATTTTTGCTGTCCCAGAGTTTGCTATGTAAGACTCCTCAAATTTTACCAGCCACCACCAGATTAACCTCCTCTAGTGATTTATTAATGGATTTGTTAAGAACAGATGGAGTTTATATACAGATATAAAAATATAACTTATACTATTTGCTATGTGAGCACTTGGAGTGTGATAACTTGAAAGGTGACACATTGATATTCCTGTATGGACCCAATAAACATGACTAAAGCTTATGCTCTTTTTATAAAAAATAGGGTGTTTCTGCAGACTGTGAGCACACTGAGAACTCTCTGGGCCATTGACCATCTTGTTTACCTGTTTTCTGCACAGTGCTTTGTATAACCAGGCACTGGTAGTTGATGGTGGTTTGTAAGCACTACTATAACCTAATCAGTCAAAAAAAAGCTGGTGTGGAAAAATCTCTGATAGTTTCATGTCACAGCAAAGAGAGGGTATGCCTACACTACAGCACTAATTCAAACTAACTTAATTCGAATTAGTTCATTCGAACTAAACTAATTTGAATTAGTGCATCTAGACCCAAAAACTAATTCGAATTAGCGTTTTGCTAATTCGAAATAGCGCGTCCACACTGTTTGGACGCTGGGTCGCATTTAAGGGCAGCTGAAACCGGTTCCAGCAGGGCATCAGGTCAGTAGTTGCTTTGTGTGGCTGCTCTGTAAAGGGCCCCCCCCCCCCCGAACAGCCGGTTCTCAGCTTTTCCGCTTGCTTGCCTACCTCGCCGAGGGACAGCAAAGCGTTTTCCTCTCCATCTACCTGTGTTGGTGGTTCCCATTGGGGATGCCGCCGCAGTTGGCACCATGGAGCCAGAGCTCGCCCTGGGCATGATGCTCCAGTTTTGGGATTTGCTACTGCAAGCCTGCCAGGAATGGCTGGAGGCTCCCTGGCACCATCTGGTGCACGTCAGCTCCCCTGTCTCTCCGCCTGGCCTTCCTGGGGGTCGTGGAGGAGCAGCAGCAGTGCCCAGATGCCAGCGTGCCCCGCCATATCTGGCGTCTGGACACCAGCAGCGACTGATGGGACCACATCATCCTGGAGTGCTGGAGAGACCAACAGTGGACCCAGAACTTCAGGATGAAGAAGGATTCCTGCTCTGTGTGATGGGACACGCACATGGGGCCCGCCATCCCCCTCCAGAAGCGTGTGGCGATCACCCTGTGGAAGCTCTCCATACCGGACAGCTACCGATCCGTCAGGAACCAGTTCAGCGTGGGAAAATCCACCGTAGGAGCAGTGCTCATGCAGGTACGGCACTCACCGACCACTGGGCCGGGAGGGAGGGGGGCTGCAAGGAGGGAATGGGCCACCCCAGGAAAAACGGGGGTAGGAGAGGAGGCGACAGTGCCCCGCACGGGAGGGTTTGGTCTGTCCTGGCTGTACTACACGCCGCCCAGGGGCAGTGGGGCGCGGGGCAGTGCCAGGGAATGAACACTCCCAGACACCTGGGCGCCCCAGTGATTCGCAGTTTGCTGTGTCTTTCTGCAGGTAGTCAAGGACATCAACTGGGTGCTACTCCGCAGGGTGGTCTGCCTCGCTGACCCGGACGCCGTCATCCAGGGGTTCGGTGCCCTCGGCTTCCCCAAATGTGGGGGATGGTAGGGCATCAATGGGACGCACATCCCCATCCATGCCCCGGAACACAAGGCCTCCCAGTACATCAACCACAAGGGGTACTTCTCCGTCCTCCTGCAGGCCATGTCTGACCACCAGGGCCAGTTCACGGACATTAATGTGGGCTGGTCTGGCAAGGCACACAATGCCAGGGTGTTCTGAAATTCCTCCGTGTGCCAGAGGCTGCAGGCCGGGACCTTTTTCCCCAACTGCCACATCAGGATTGGAAACATGGACATGCCCGTCTGCCTGGTGGGGGATGCGGCCTACCCCCTACAGCGCTGGCTGATGAAGCAGTACATGGGGCACCTCAACCCCTCCCAGCGGGCCTTCAATGCCAGGCTCCCCAGGGCCCTCATTGTGGTTGAGGGGGCCTGCGGACGCCTGAAAGCCCAATTTCGATGCCTCTTCACCCGCCTCGACCGCGCCGAGCACAATATCCCTCCCGTGGTGGCAGCATGTTGTGTGCTGCACAATTTAAGTGAAAGAAAGTGGGAGGCTTTCCTGCCAGCCTGGACGGCTGAGGCTGAGCGCATGGCTGGCCAGTACGTGCAGTCCCACACCGCCGCCATCTGGGAGGCCCAGAGAGGGGCCATCCAGAGCCAGGAAGCCCTGCGGGAGAGCTGCCATGTGGAGGAGGACTGAACTCTCCCTGCATGCCCCACTGGGGCCTTCTTCCACTCTCCCCTTCTTCTCCTTTCCCCTCCCTAACCCCCCTTCCTAATGTAAAATAAACACACCTGTTTTGCCAACAAAAATCTCTTTATTGTACATAACTGGGGTGGGGAGAGGGAGGAGTGAGGGTGGGAAAGGGGAGGGGGAAACCTGGGAGGAGGGTGCTGGAAGGGGAGGAAGTGAGGCAGGAGGGACAGAGGGTGTGGAGGAAGCGGGAGGGGGAGCAGGGATGGGAGGAGGAGCGAGATCTGGGGCGGCTGCAGGGGCTGGAGCAGGAGGAGATGGGAACCTGTCCACCAAGGTCTGGAGGTGACCTCTGAGGGCACGGCTCTGCTCCTCCAGCACCTCTGAGCTCCGCTGCTGCAGCCGCAGGTCCTCCCGGACCCAATGGTCCTGAATGCAGAGCTGGTGCTCCAGTAGCCACAGGTGCCGCCGCTGGTAGTCCTCCAGGTTCCTGGTGCGCCTGCTCGCCCAGGAGCGGGTGGCTGTTACAGGTGGGATGGTGTGCCTTGCAGTCCCAGGTGCTGCGGCTGTGGTGAAACAAGAGCAGTGGTCAGTTCTTCTTGGGGACACAGTGGGTGAAACCCAGCCCCCCTCTGCAAGGTGAGGTCGGCATGTGGGTAATGGGCCAGGGCCCCTGCATGACACCCAGCTGCTGCTCCGTAGTGGGCAAGGCCCAGGTGCATGGTTCCTGGGCTCCCTCTTCCCCCACGTCCCCATACCCATAAGGGGAGCATGATGGCACTCACATGTGGAGCCCTTCCCGGCCTCGGACGACACAGCCGATGTGCTCTGTGGGATGCCTCAGGGGTCCTGGACCCTGGGCAGGCTCCCTGCAGGCTCCTGGCTCTCAGCTTCCTCGTCCTCCTCCTCCGTGTCAGGAACGGGGCCCTCTGCCCGGGGATCGATCACCACCTGGGGGGCATGGACTGCATGATCCCCCAGGATGTGGTCCAGGGCCTCAAAGTGGGGGCAGGCTTCTGGGGCGGCCCCTGGCTGGGAGGCCCTGGAGTAGGCTTGCCGCAGGTCCTTCATCTTGCTGTGGACCTGCTCCTGGGTCCGCATGTGGCCTTTGGTGGCCAAGCTGGCAGCTATGCAACCGTAGCCAGACCGTGCCCCTTTAAGGACTACGGGGCTGGGAGGGGGGCAGAAAAGTTTCCCTGGTTTGGCCCAGAGTGGCCACCAGGGCAAGCTGGGAAGGGCTAGCCTCCCACTAGTTTGAATTAAGTGGCTACACAGCCCTTAATTCGAACTACTTAATTCGAACTAGGCATTAGTCCTCACAGAATGAGGTTTACCTAGTTCAAATTAAGCGCTCCGCTAGTTCTATTTATATTCAAACTAGAGGTTTGTATGTGTATCCGCTATTAAAGTTAATTCAAACTAACGGCTGTTAGTTCGAATTAACTTTGTAGTGTAGACATACCCAGAGATCTTTGTGGATGAGAGATTAACATTTCCATGGAAATGTCATAAAGGGCACAGCCCAACTTCTCTTCTGGTGGTGTCAACCTAGATTTAAATCAAGGGTCTCAAATTCAATTTACCTTAGGGTCAGTGCTAGTCCTTCACTCTTCCTACCGGGCCAGTGGGCACCCCTCCTCTGGCAGGGCTACAGGGAAGGTAGAGGTCTCCACACATTCTCTCCTGCACATCTCCCAGCTCCTCCTGCAGGCCCATATACTTCCACTTACATGTCCTCCAGCCCCACCTGCCACCCCCCCAGGCAATTTAAAATCCACTGTGGGCACCCACTGCCACCGCTACTAGTACAGTGGGGCTAGAGTGTCTCCCTGCCACTAGCCTCCATGCTGCTGCCAGCTTGTCCCCGTGGCTGAGCTGAGTCATGAATTTTGACCACTTGGGGTAGGCAATACAGTACACACAAATTGTTAGTGTCTCCCCTTGGGTCCAGGAGCCCATACAGAGACCA